TAAAGCGATAGCAAGCATAAGAAAAGCCATAGAAACCATAAAAAGGAACCAGTCAGAAGTGAAGAATACAATAACTGAAATCAATGCACTAGAAGGAATCACCAGCAAACTAGATGAAGCAGAGGATCGAATCAGCGATTTGGAAGACAAAGTAGCAGAACACACCCAATCGGAACAGCAAAAGTAAGCACAGAGAGTCCCAAACAAGATGAATCCGAACAGATCCATACCAGGACACATTATATAATAATTAAAATGGCAATGGTTAAAGACAGTGAGAATCTGAAAAGTAGCAAGAGACAGGCAACTAGTAACGTATAAGGGAACTCACGTAAGATTGTCAGTTGATTTCTCAACAAAAACTTTGCAAGCCAGAAGGGATTGGCAAGAAATATTCAAAGTGATGAAAAATGGCAAGAAATATTCAAAGTGATGAAAGCAAGGGCCTACAACCAAGACTACTCTATCCAGCAAGGCTATCATTTAGAATCAAAGGACAGATAAAGAGCTTCCCAGACAAGAAAAAGATAAAGGAGTTCATCATCACCAAACCAGTATTATAAGGAATGTTAGACTTCTTTAAGATGGAAAAAAAATAAAAATATGAAAAATGGCAATAACTACATATCTATCAATAATTACTTTCAATGTAAATGTAAATGGATTAAATGCTTCAATTGAAAACATAGGATAGCTTAATAGATAAGAGAACAAAACCCTTACATATGCTGTATATAAGAGACTCACTTCAGATTGAAAGACACACACAGACTGGAAGTAAAGGGATTGAAAAAGATATTTCATGAAAATGAGAAAAAAAAAACAAAAAACGGAAAAAGCTGGGATCGCAATACTTATACCAGACAAAATAGAGTTTAAAACAATGGCTATAATGTGAGACAAAGAAGGACCCAGTAATCCCACTTCTGGGTATTTATCTGAAGAAACCCAAAATGCTACTTTGAGGGTACATGTGCATCCATATGTTCATTACAGCATTGTTTACAATGGCCAAAATGTGGAGGCAGCCTGGGTGTCCGTGGATGGAAGAATGGATAAAGAGGAGGTGGTACACACTTACAACAGAATATTGCTCGGCCATGTTATGGACTGAGTTCTTGGCAACTGTGGCCGCATTAATGGACCTGGAGGGTATTGTGCTCAGTGGAGTATGTCAGACAGAGAAAGACAGATGCAATGTAATTTCACTTATATTTGTGTGTGGAATCTAAAGAACAAAACAGAAACAAACTCATAGATACAAAGAACATTTTGATGGTTCCCAGATGGGAGTGGTGTTGAGGGGGTGGGTGAAAATCGACAAGGGATTAAGAAATACAAATTGGTTGTTACAAAGTATTCCTGGGGATGTAGGGTATAGCAAAAGTAATATAATTATTAATGTTGTAATAACTATGTATCTGTCAGATGGTTACTAGATTTATTGGGGTGATGGGAGGGAAGTTAGGGGACAGGGTGAAAAGATGAAAGGATTAAGAAGTATAAATTGGTAGTTACAAAATAGTCATGGGGATGTAAATATAGAGAATATAGTCAATAATATGGTAATAATTATGTATAGTGCCAGGTAGGAACTACACTAGTCGGGGTGGTGGCTGGGGGATGGGGGAGGCACTTTTTAAATTGTATTTGTCTACCCACTGTGCTGTACACCTGAAATTAATACAAAATAACATTGAATGTTAACTGTAATTGAAAATTTTAAAAAGGGTGGAGAAAAAAAGGTGAAGGGGAATAAGAGGTCCAGATTTCCAGGTATAAAACAAGTCATGGGGCTGAAATGTACAGCATAAGGAATATAGTCAATAATATTGTGATAGCGGGCCAGCCGAGTGGCGCGTTGGTTAAGAGTTGGCTTGGGATGCCAGCCCTACGCAGCAGGGCCCTGGTTCGGATCCCACATGGGGGCCAGTGACGCTGCGCCTCCTACAGCTAAGATTTCTAGGTGGCTATTTCCGTGATTATCCAAAAGAGAGAAGAGCCAGGCGCCACTGAACTCCAGGAGCCTCTGCTTCTTATTTACGCAGAATTTTTCAACCTGCTGCCCACAGCTAATCCACAAGGCAGATCCTTCCTTGCTGACTGGGGCCTATCCCAGAGCTGGCCCAGCTGTAACTTCTTCACCCCTTTTCTCTATCATTAATGTAAATCCTTTAACAATGGCTTCCATGTCACTACCCCACTGCTTGATGTGTACAAATGTTCAACAACTCCAGGGTGGTGGATGTGTTGTCTTTTTACCTAGCTGTGCTGCTGGTGGTTCAGACTTAATGCCTCCGGACCTGCTCTGTCTTGCTAGCGATAGCCTAATCAGCCCTTTCTTTTAAAAGATTTTTAGTTGTGGAAGTTAAAGTTTTTCGTTTAACTCTTGGATTTATCATTTCACTTTGGCGAACTTCAGGTTCCCTATTATAAAATGAGGAGTTGATAACGCGTCTCTCTAAAGACCTGTTGTGCTTTAACCAGCTTGAAGACTCCTGTACCCAACCCCATCCCCGACTGCCTGAATTGTTCCCATTCCAGACCCTGCCTAGGCTTCTTGGGCCTACATGGCCAGGGCCGATCCCTGACCTCTGAGGCCTGGGTCCGGAGGTGGACATGGGCACATGCCCACTGCCCTACAGCAGCCAAGTGCTTGTTGTCCAGAACAAGGGGAAAAGGAGCCTGAGCTTGCGGGTAGTAGGAGGTCCTGGGGTGCATGACCTTAGATTTGGGCTTTGACACATATATAAGTTTCCTAGAAGAACAATCCGAGGGTCAAGAGTGCTTGTTTTTAAGACTTCCCTACATCTTTGTATGTGGTTTAATTAATCTTTTACCTTAAGGCTTTAGGCTATCCTAAAATGAACTCTTTTGCATTATAAAATCATTCAACCATCTTGTGTAATTTTGTGATTATTGGATTTATCATTTTGAATGATTTTTAAATTATAGAATAATACCTATAAGCTCACACAACGAACCAAACAGTACTGAAATGGAACCAAAAGCCAATAACTTCTTTCCTAATCCCACCCCCAGGAAGTAACTAGGGTAAGCAGTCGAGTGTGTGTCCTACATGTGTACTTCAATGGGCTCGCAGAGAAGTATACAGGTATAAGTCCTCCTGCTCTCCCCCCTCCACACACAAAACAGGATTACATTATAAACATAAGTTCATTTTTTAAAACTTAATATTAGAAAAACAAAATAATTTTGACCTGCCCAAAAGAAATAGAGTTTTGTAGGTGTACTTGCTTGCTCATGAACCAAAGTGTCAGTGGTAACTATTAATAACAGAAATGCTGTCAACGTATGAGCCTATATTTATGTGGCACTAACTTTAAATCCATTGTTTCAGACTCGCCATCATGGATACTCTGTCGGAAGCAAATGGCACCTTTGCCTTTAATCTGTTGAAAAAGCTGGGTGAAGACAACTCAAAAAATGTGTTTTTCTCACCCATGAGCATCTCCTCTGCCCTCGCCATGGTCCTGATGGGGGCAAAGGGAAACACCGCAGCCCAGATGGCCCAGGTATGTGCCTAATGCCATTTCTGGGCACCGGTAAATGCCATTAATTTGTCAGTTGAGCTGGTCCTCCACGTTTCAAATCCCAAACAACTTGGTCCTGACAGATAATTCTTGTTAGTGCTGCAGGGGTGTGGGCAGAGAGTTGCCAGGGAAACATGTTAGCCCTATGCAAGCACCTTGGGGTTTGTACCTCTGATCAGTTAGGGATGGAGTCGCGCCCTCTAGTAAGGGGAATGAGTCATTTCACCACCCCCGGTAATGGCTTGGACACAAGTTTATGAGTAGATACAAAGGCACAAAGTTCAGGTTGACTTGGTGGTAGTCTTTTGGGTATTGTCAACTGCTTTTCAATTGTTAGGAATCTTATTTAATTTTTCTCATTTAACTGAAAAACTCTTCAGTAGTATTTTAATTGTTTGTTGTTCAGTATCTAACACCCCAAAACTTAGTCTGTAAGATGAAGATTGACTCTGGGTGCATCAGGTGGTACTCTGTCCCACTTGGCCCTGCTGGGTCACTGGCATAGGGTCTGGGGCCTCTTCCGCATAGGTGGCCTCCTCCACATGCTGCCTCATCCTCTAGGCCTCCCACATGGTGTCTCTTTGGCAGGGCAGCCTGGGCTTTCTCATAGCACAGTATCCACCTTCCAAGAGGACACGCTTGAATGTGCTTATCCAGCCTCTGCTTCTCAGGCTTGCTAATGCCCCACTGGCTGAAGCCAGGCAGGTAGCCAATCCCAGAGTCAGCCCCAAGAGGGGCTGCACAAGGGGGTGAAGACAGAAGGCATGGCTCATCAGGGGCCCCATGACTGCCCTCTGGCTCCTAATGGTTCACAGCCCTCCCACAGGTAAGGTACACCTACCCCTCCCAACCACAGAGTATCATTTTGTCATGGGGCCAGACTTGGGCTTGAAGTCCAGAAGGGACAGGGCTACTCAGGCTCTCTGTGTGGTTCCTGGGTGCAGAGCTTTGTGAGCTTGAGACAAATTATTACACACACCTCCCCTGCAACACGCCATGGTGACACAGGGAGGGATAACTGCACTGAAAATGTCCTTCAGAAATGGTAGGGGGAGGTGTGTCAGTCTGCCAGAGCTGCCACAACAAAGTGCCACACACTGAGTGGCCTAAACAACAGACATTTATTTCCTCACAGTTCTAGAGACTGGAGGTTCGATATTACGGTGTTGGCAGGTGTTCTTCTAAACAATTTTAGGATTTCTATATATTGACTTAAATCCACTTCATTGGACAAAAGCACATGCACATACCTGTTTGAGGCAGGACTCTGTGCTGGGGAGCAATGCCCTTAAGATGCTCAGAAGGCACTTTACCTAGCCAAGAGGGTCTGTGAGGCACTTCCTTAATCTTTCTAAGGTTTTATCAAAGTGGATCTTGACCCTGCCCTTGAAGCTTGTGCTTTGGGTTTCACCATTGCCCTGAAGCCATTTCTTACTTGTAGAATCATTTGCCAACTGGAGAGGATGGGAGTAAGAAACATTTTTATTTTTTACCCAGCAAGTCCTAGGTTGGAAATATTTCCTTTAAATTCTGCTTGAAAATGAAACAATTCCTTCTTTAGCTTATCTTTCAGTTCCTATACTTTATCCTAGGCAGCTAAAAGAAGCCACATTCTTTCTTGATGTCTCCTTAACCATATCCGTGATTCACTGGCAAAATTCCAACCTTTCCCATCAGTGCAGGTGACAGTCTGTCCAGTTCTTCCACCGGTACATACCATAAGCTCCTTTCCTCCAGCCTCCAGCAGTTTTTTTGTTCACTGGTTTTCCAGCTTCTTCTCACAGTCTCCCAGGTCCCTTTCTGTCCAGCCTCTGCCAGCTGCCTGTGTCCAAAGCCAGTACTGCATGTTTTAGATTTTTATTATGGCAGAACTCCATGTCTATATTGTTGTCTGGATCTTCAATGGCTACTTAACAAACTTTCTCAAAACTTGGTGGCTGGCGATAACAATGATTGAGTATTTTTTCAGATTTTGTGGTCTGACCCCATGGTGCCAGCTGGGGTCACTCGTGATCCAAGAAAGGCCTCTATCGCTTGTCTGGACCTTGGTGCTGACAGTTGGCTGGGGCCACCGTTCCATAAGTATCTCTCCCCGTGAGGTGTTGCTCTCCAGGGCTTTTACACACCCTCCACAGGATAGCTTGAACTTCCTTACAGCATGGTTGCTGGGGCATAAGAGAGCGAATGGTGAGCTGCTAGTCCTTTTAAGGCCCAGGCCTGGAACAGTGTCACATTTACTGCATTTTGTTGGTCAGAGCAAGTCACAGGGCCAGCATGGACACAAGGATGGAGGTTGCACCTTTCGACATCAGGATTGCCCTGTGTTTACAGAGAAGGGAGTCCAGGTTGGCAGCCTTATTTTCAGGCAGACTACAAGTAGGGAACACCCAGAACCTGGGTTTGCCAAGGGGCATTTTGTTGCCAGTGCTGGCAGGGCTCTGACTCCCTGCAGGAATGGTGTTACAGGGTGAGGGTAGCTTTCAAGATACTTTTTGTCTTTAATTGGATGAATCTTTTCAGTCTAGTGAGGATCTGTACAGTTCTTAGGCTAAGTTTATTGTTGTATCCATTTCCTGAAATCAGAGCATACTGAAGTTGTGTATTTTCATTCTGTTTTTGACTTCAGGCACTTTCTTTAAGTAAAAACAGCAGAGAAGGTGAAGATGTCCACCATGGTTTCCATTTGCTTCTCACCGAAGTTAACAGGACTGGTACGAAGTACTTGCTTAGAACTGCCAATCGGCTCTTTGGAGAAAAGTCTTATGATTTCAACTCAGTAAGTCATAATTGCTGTTTTTCACTAAAAAAGTAAAGGCAGTGAGGAGGAGGGGTCATGTGGAACAGCGAGAGTTGTGGGCTACGAATTCACACAGATGGGCATGAACTCAGGTCTACTAACCTCATGCACTTCCTTTAACTGTCTTTCAGTTTTGTCCTATGTAAAAATAGCCTTATAACAACTACTGTCCAAATTTTTGTGAAGCAGAAGTGAATCATTGAAAGAAAAAAAAACAGCATGGAGCACAGCACAATGCAAGATGAATTGGCTAAAACAAAGAAATAGTTAAATGAATATTTGCAATAATTGTTTTCTATATATTGGTAAATTTTTTTGTGTGCGTTGTGAGACATAGTCAATGTTTTACACATGTAAATATTTTTATTGTTTTTTCCAATGAAAAATTTTAAAAAAGATTTATTTGTCTAAGTATACTGGTTCTCTTTATTTACAATGCTTTCATGATTTTTTTCATTTTTCATAAGCTACTCGAGTAATATGTGAGTACAGTAATACCTTGGTTTGCGAGCATGATTTGTTCTGGAAACAAACTACTTGTATTGCAATACATTGCTCATTTACCAAGTTAAAATGTATTAGAAATGTTTGCTTGTCTTGTGGAACACTCACAAACCAAGTTTCTCGCAATCCAAGGTTTTACTGTATATTCTTTTTAAATAAAAATGCAAAAAAGCAGACAAAGCAAGAGTCCTCCTCACAACCTCTTTTCCATACTGTATCGCTTGCTTCCCAGTATAAGAGCTTTTATAGATTTAATATGTATCCCCCTGTGCATATAGAAATGTGTTTTGTGGCATTTCTTCCTACATAACTTCATTTTACCAAGTATATTCTTCTGAAATTTGTTTCTTTCTACCAAAGACGTAAATTTTTTGCCTCTTGGTATATGTGGAACTACCTTATTCTTTAACTGTTACCTGGTATTCTTTTTCTATATTTAATTTTTTTCCTTTTTATTATCTGGTATTCTTAAGTATGGATATACTATAACCATTCCTCCACTCATGGGCATTTAGGTTGTATCCAATATGAGCCATATAGACAGTGAACACTCTTGTACGCTTGGTACTCCAAGACAGACTTGTAGAAGAGAGGAAGAGGGAAGTTTTAAGTGAATACTAGTGCATACTGCAAAATTGCTGTCCAAAATGCTGTAGCCACACCACAGTGTGGTTTTTTTTTTATCCAACTTGCTTTTTTATTTTTATCAGTCTTAGCTACTTCGTAGGTTGTTACCATCTTTTTAAAAGCCTTAGATATGAAGAAAAACAAAACTTCTAATAAACTCAAAGGGTCCCAAGATCATGTGTAATTATGAAAATAGACTAAGGGATATAGCCAAATACAAATAAAAGAAGTAAAAACACTGACAAAAATATAAACATAGAAGGGGTAAGTCAAAATTGTAGTGATTTAAGAATGTGTTCAAACATAAACAACCATGAACTTAAAATGGACTGGTATAAACATAGCTTGGTATATATGAAGCACATCATAACCACAAACCAAAAATCTATTAGAGATATATGAGCAATAAAAAGATATTAATCAAAACATACTATAGAAGGTCATCAACACAGAAGACAGCAAGAGAATAAGAAAGGAATAGAGAAGAACTACAAAACAATCAGAAAGCAATAAATGGCAGTAACTACATACCTATGAATAATTACTTTAATTGTAAATGGACTAAATGCTTCAGTCAAAAGATATAGGGTGTCTGAATGCATAAAAAAATAAAACCCATACATATGCTGCCTATAAGAGACCTGTTTCAGATCAAAGGAGACAGGCTGAAACTAAATGGATGGAAATAGATATTTCATGCAAATAGAAAAGAAAACAAAAAGTTGGGATAGCAATACTTATATCAGACAAAATAGACTTTAAAACAAAGGCAGTACCAAGAGACAAAGAAGGGCATTTCAAAATATAAAGGGATTAATCCAATTAGAGGGTATAACCCTTGTAAGCATGTATGCACCTAACATAGGAGCACCTAAATATATAAAGCAAATATTGATGTACATAAAGAGAGAGATCAACAGTAATACAGTCATAGTGGGGGACTTTAACACCCATTGACATCAAGGGATAGTTCATCCAGACAGAAAACCAACAAGGAAAGAGTGGCTATAAATGACTCATTAGGCCAGATGAACTTACTAGGTATCTTTAGAACATTTCAGCCAATAGCAGAGGAATATGCATTCTTTTCAAGTGCATATGAAACATTTTCTAAGATGGACCACATGTTAGGCCACAAAACAAGTCTCAATAAATTTAAGAAGATTGAGGGCCAGCTGAGTGGCGCATTGGTTGGGAGTTGGCCTGGGATGCCAGCTTTGAGCAGCATGAATCCCACATTAGGACCAGTGACACTGCGCCCTCTACAGCTAAGATGGTGAATGACAGCTCTACCTGGAGCTGGGCTGCGGTGAGTCACCGATGACAGCATAGGCGGCAATGAAGCTGCAGTGAGCTGCCAAGAGCCACCGTGAGTGGCCATCCAGTGGCCGGTGATGGATCTACCTCACCCGGGAAGAGCACAATAATAATACCAACATGGGCCAGTGAAGCGACATCCTCCACAACTGGTCTGAAGAACAAAAGGACAGCAACTTGTCTGTTCCCCTTCCCTGATTCCCCAATGCTGTTCCCCTCCCCCCGATTCCCCAATAAAACCTTAAAAAAAACGACAAAAAAAGATACCTTGAGACAATGAAAATGAAAACATGATAACTCCAAAAATCAATGGGACACAGCCAAAGCAGTTCTAAGAGGGAAATTTATAGCAATTCAGACCTACCTCAAGAAACAAGGAAAATATCATATAAACACTCTATCCTTACATGTAAAGGAGCTAGAAAGGAAGAATAAAGCCTAAAGTGAGTCAAAGGAAGGAAATCATAAAGATGAGAATGGAAATAAATAAAATAGAGCTTAAAAAGGAAATAGAAAGATTAATGAAACAAGCGCTGGTTCTTAGAAAAAAAAATTGATAAACTGTTAGCCAGACTTATCATGAATAAAAGAGAGAGGGCCCAAGTAAATAAAATGATAAACGAGACATGACAACTGACAACAGAAATACAGAGCATTATAATAAAATACTAGGAACAATTATATGGCAACAAATTGGACAATCTGGAAGGAATCGATAAATTCCTAGAAACAGGCTCGTACAATCTTTCAAGACTGAATCAGAAAGAAACAGAAGATCTGAACAGATTGATAGCTACTAATGAAATCAAATCAGCAATCACTCCCCAAAAACAAAAGTCCTAGACCAAGTGGCTTCACAGGTGAATTTTACCAGACATTCTTACAGCAATAAATACTTATCCTTCTCAAAGTATTCCAAAAAAATTGAAGAAGAGGGAAGGCTCCCAAACTCATTTTATGAGGCCAGCATTACCCTGATACCAAAGTCAGAGAAAAGACACTACAAAAAAAGAAAGTTATAGGCCAATATCCCTGATGAATATAGATGCAAAAATCCTCAACAAAATATTAGCAAACCGGTCCAGCTGAGTGGTGCGATGATTAAGAACTGGCTTGGGATGCCAGAGGGCCCCGGTTCGGATCCCACATATGAGGGCCAGTGACACTGCCCTCCACAGCTAAGATGCTGAACAACAGCTCAACCTGGAGCTGGGCTGCCATGAGTCGCCGGCAACAGCTAGGCTGCAGCCCCTGTGGCAGTGGGTTGCCATGGGCTACCATGTGTAGCCAGCAGCCAACGTGAGCGGCCAGCAGCTGCAGTGAACGGCTGTCCAGAAGCCGGTGACAGATCTGCCTCGCCTGGGAAGAGCGCAATGATGGTGCCAACTTGGGCCAGTGAGGCGGTGTCCTCCACAACTAGACTGAAGAACATAACGACAGCAACTTGTCTGTTGCCCTTCCCCCCAATTCCCCAGCGCTGTTCCCATCACCCAATTCCCCAATAAGAATCTTAAAAAAAATTAGCAAACCAATTTCAGCATACATTAAAAAGATTATACACCGTGATCAGGTGGAATTTATTCCTGGGATGAAAGGTTGTTTCAATATCTGCAAATCAATTAACATGATATGCCACAAAAGCAAAATGAAGTGTAAAAATCATATGAACCTAACAGTAGATGTAATAAAAGCATTTAACAAATGCTTTCATGATGAAAGTTTATGATAAAAATTCTCAACAAAGTGGGGATAAAGGAAACACACCTCAACATAATAAAGCCATATATGATAAACCCACAGCTAACTTACTCAATGGTGAAAAGCTGAAAGCTTTTCCTCTAAGATTGGGAACAAGACAAGGATGCTTACTCTAAAAACTTGTATTCAATGTAGTATTAGAAGTCCTAGTCAGAGCAACTAGGCAAGGAAAAGAAATAGGCATCCAAACAGGAAAGGAAGATGTAAAACTCACTAATTGCAGATGATATGATATTATATATAGAAACCCTAAAGACTCCACCAAAAAACTGTTAGAACTAATATATGAATTCAGTAAAGCTGGAGGATATAAAATCAATATGCAAAAATGTGTTCATTTCTATACACTAATAACAAACTATTGAAAAGAGAAATTAAGAAACAATGCCATTTATGCTTGCATCAAAAAGAATAAAATACCTAGTAATAAATTTATCCAAGGAGCTGAAAGACCTGTACCCTAATCTCTATAAGACATTGATAAAAGAAATTGAAGAAGACACCAATAAATGGAAAGATATCACACTTTCATGGATTTGAAGGATTAATATTATTAAAATGTCCATATTGCTTAAAGCAATCTACAGATTCAATGCAATCCCAATCAAAATGCCAATGGCATTTTTCACACGACTAAATCAAACAATTCTAAAATTTATATGGAACTGCAAAAGACCCCTAATACCCAAAGCAATCTTAAGAAAGAAGAACAAATTTGGAGGTGTCACGCTCGCTAACTGATACCAAACTATACTACAAGGCTGGAGAATCAAAACTGCATGGTATTGGCATGAAAACCAGACACATAAATCTGTGGAACAGAATAGAGATCCCAAAGAGAAGCCC